AAATGCTCCGGCGAGGTTTCCTTCGTACCTCTGGACTGGGAACTCCTTCAGGTTGACTTCTCCTCCGGCAAGGACCTCAAGAACATCCGCCATGGTTCTCCATGGTTCCAACCCAAGTACCTAATTCACTTGGTTCCTTGGAAAACTCCGTCTGCTGCTCTTGCGGAATCCCTCCTTAAAGTTCCACTGACGCTCCAACTATGGGGCGTTCCCTATGCGTGTTGCACAGAGAGGCTGGGGTATTTGCTAGGGGCGTCACTTGGTCCGGCTGAGCCAGCAACTATTCACCAATTTGAGGTGTCCGAGAAAATCTTCATCCGGGTCAAGGTTGCATTGGATGTAACCGCCCCTCTACCTGATGAAATTCCTGCAGAACACGGAGCTGCAGTCAAAGGGCTTTCAAGACCTAGGTGAAATATGAGCGGTTACCGCAATTCTGCTTCCTCTGCGGGATCATTGGCCACCCTGGCCACCGATGCCCAAAGAAGGAGGAGCTTGGCGATCAGACCCCCCAGTATGGGAGATTCACAGTGAACTGGGAAAAGGGTCCGAGGTTGAACGAGCAGACACTTGCTCAAAAGAGGAAGTTGACTCACTCCTACTGTCACTCTAGAAAATGGCCAAGTGTAACCACTTCCTAAAGCGTAGTATAGCGGGTTTGGGTTTTATTATCAACCCGGGTCCTAGATGTGATGACTACTCGGTGAATTCTTGTTATTTAGCAGTGAACTTTTAGTGAAACTCAAGCAAACAAAACACAAAGCAAGTAAACGGTTTGTTGTCAAGTCAAGAGAGGTCACCCGGATATGGTTCCCCCTAGACTGCAGTTAAGTCGGATTGCAATTTACCAAGTTCAGTTTCATGAAAGTTATACTGCGGAAGGTTCTCAATTAGCCTGAAGTCTCGACTAAAGGTCTCCAGACCCTCTCAATCTGAGTCTCTAGCGGGCGACTAACCTCCACCGGAGTAAACAGATTGAGGCCCTAATGAACCAAACCTCCACTACCGAATTGACTTCGGTACAGAATAGCGAATTGGCTCCTCGACTAAAGTCACCAATTCACCACCTTCGATTAAGGGTACTCTCTCAACCTAGGCAGATATTCTCATTCTAGGTCAAAGCAGAAACAACAGGAATTTGATGAGGATTCAAGTCATTCAATCATTCAAACCTCAATCGAATATAATCAATTCACAAACTCTGTACTTGGGTTCATACAATCAGACCTAGCATACAAATCTAGGGTTCTCCATACCCAGATGAATGGGGAAACTACTCCATAGAGAAAGAAGCAAAAGCAGATTCAGACACGGAAATCATACTGTGAAGTTGGATTCCTGCTCCTGGACGTTTAATCGCACTTCTCCAAGCTCAAGACGTGCTCCAATGGTGTTGAAGATCGATCTATGGCGCTTGAGAACTCTGGTTCGACGCTTTCTCTCTCTAGGAATCGATTTCTCTCTCCAAAAACTCGGAACCCTTCATTGTTGGCCTTCTTCCTCCTTAAATCAGCTGCCTGGTCGCGATACCCGGTCAAAATACCCGGTCGGGTATTTTGGGTTTCGACCGGGTATCTCTGCAGCGCACCGTTTAGCTTAAGGGAAGAATCCCCGGTCAATCGCCATAATCCCCGACCGGGGATTTTGCTGCTGTGCCCGGGCCCCTCTCTGCTTCTCGGGCGCCCAAAAGTGGTGAATACCCGGTCGGGTATTTGGCCACCTGACCGGGTATTTTCCTCCTTCAGCCCTATCCGTCCCAACTTTGCTCCTTTCGACCCAGAACTCGTTTCTCCGCCTCGATTCCAACGCCGGGACCTGAAATATGACATAAACACACAACCTAGCGTGAAATCGGCTTAAAACACGAGATTCCTCGTCACAAACGGCCTCAGAATAGGGGTAAAAACATGTATAATTATCGGTCTATCAAACTCCCCCACACTTAACCGTTTGCTTGGACAAGCAAACCTAACTCAAACCAATGCAGCTCTCCAGACCTCTATAGCAACAAACAACCTCGATCGTAGGTAGAGGACTTCCTAGATCATTTAGCAGCTTACGAGGTCAACCGACGCACAAGTCATCTCATAGCCTCTTCGGCGAGAACGCTAGTCTCGAGTCGGCATCATGGCAAATAGTGAACAGAGGACAAACGAATCGTGGATGAAGAGACTCTCACAAACAAAAGATCATGGACTCACATTAATTCAAGGTGCTCGATTTTCGTCTTGAACATGGTTGGAACCCTCTTCTTTCTTCTTTTTACTTGTTTTTCTGTTTTTTTTTCCACGGGTTCCAACCTGTTTCTGCAGAAAATGAGGGCTCCCACCTAGCAAAGGTTTTGCGGGAGCCCGGCTCTTACCGGCCATGCCAGGAGCGGGTGTCTCGAGCCTCGTGCGGGGGAAAGACATGTAAGGGGGCTGGAGGTAGTAGGTGGAAATTGGGAACGGATTCCCGTCTCCCCTTACACACTTTCGCCCTATTCGCACGGGAGACGTTATCTTAAAGCACATTTCGAGCACCTGTTACATTGAGAACATGATACAAGAGTCCATGACAGGCAGAGAGTCCACAATACCACACAATTCAAGGGTCCTAAGATCACTAATTCACTCAATCAACCAACACAGTATGAAGAAGAAATGAGACTTCTTAAATGCATCAACATCCTCCATAGTGCTACACTACCTCCCTAGGTTGCAAATCACTACAGAGACTGTCAATTCAAAGCATACTGAGCAGGCAATTGCAAGGAACACGTACTTGGAGCCCTCAAATTTTAAAATTTGGACAGTGGACTAGGCTCCAAGCACACAAACAGATCTAATGCAGTCAAAAGATAAACATCCCCCCCACACTTAAGATCGACATTGCCCTCAATGGAGAAGAGGGAAGGAAAGGGGAACGATGTTACCGGTATGCACGGACTGCAGAGGACTGGAAATGGATCAGTCGGGAACACAGCACAGCTCAAGGGGAACAGAAGAGCTCAACCAGAATATGTTAGGTCCGATGTCAGCCCAATAAGACATCATCCAGAACAAAGGAAACAAACCAAAACAAAACCAAATCGCAATCCGACTCGAAACATAAGAAAGAAAGTCAAACCGTGGTGGGGTTGCCTCCCCACAAGCGCTTCTTTACCGTCTTTTAGCTGGACGCCCATGGTGGATACTCAGGGAAGTGCAGGAACAGGTGCCTCCAAGAGCGGATCCACATCGCTCTTGAGGTACAGCTTCAGGTGGTGACCGTGCACCCGACGGTTGCAACCACCAGCAGAAGTCAGCTCGACCTGGCCATCCGGCAAGATGCAGGCGAGTGAGTACTCGGATGGCCAGGGTGGTCGTGGTGCGGGGGGTGGGACCAGCTCATAGTGGTCTCCACTCTTCTTCCGTGCAGGCTTAGCCACCTGCGGCTTCGGCCGCCACTCCTCCTTGAGCTTTTTGTTCGGAGGCGAGACTGGATGGAGTGGCGGCGAAGGAATGATAGGCGGGTCCTGCAAAATGAGAGGTGCAGAAGGATACACGACAGGCTCGTGTATCTGGTCAGAAATAGCATGCACAGGCGATACAGAAATCATAGCACAATGATCAAACTCAGTCACAGGAAAAACAGCCTGTTCATTTCCAGCACGCAAGATCAGTTTACCATCATGCACATCAATCAGTGCCTTGGCGGTGGCAAGAAATGGTCTACCCAGAATCAAAGGTACATCCACATCATCATTTATGTCCAGGATAACAAAATCAACAGGATATGTGAATGCACCAACATTAACAAGCAAATCTTCTATGATACCCCTAGGATGCACCACAGAACGATCAGCTAGCTGAATGCTCATCCTAGTAGGGCTAAGTTCACCTAGGTCTAGCTTTTTGAACAATTTATATGGCATGACATTAATGCTAGCTCCTAGGTCCGCCAAGGACTTTCCTACATGCATGCTGCCAATAGTAAGAGGGATAGTAAAACTCCCTGGATCCTTGCGCTTTTCGGGCAGCTTGTTCTGCAGGATGGCAGAACATTCCTCGCTCAGCAGCACTGTCGAGAGATCCCCAAGTTTCTTCTTGTTGGTGCAGAGATCTTTCATGAACTTAGCGTACTTGGGCATCTTCGACAGTGCCTCCACAAATGGTATGCTGATGTTGAGCTGCTTCAACATTGCCATAAAATTGGCAAACTCAGTCTCCAACTTGTCTTTGTGAAGGCGAGTGGGGAAGGGAAGCTGGGGTACGTGCTCCTTCACCACTGGTTGTGGCTTGGGAGCAGGGGCTTCCTTCTCCACCCGCACTTCTGCATCACCGGCTGGAAGTGCTGAAGCAGGTAGTGGTTCCTCCTGCCTAGTCGAGGCAGGGTCAGCTGATGTAGGCCTGCCGCTCCTGGTGAAAACGGCACCCAGCTGCTCATGCGGGTCCCGTGGATTGGGGATGGTGGTGGCAGGTAGAGTCCCCGGGGCCCGAGTAGTAATCTGGCGAGCTATGGCGCCAACCTGGTTCTGCAAATCTTGCAGAATGGCACCCTGGTTTCTCTGCCCTGCCTCCAGTGAAGCTATGGCCTGATCCATCCTCGTGATATTCGCCTGGCTGGTGGTCATGAATGCCGCCAAAACGTTCTTCAGCTCGGTCATCTGAGTATCGGGAGCTGGCGCTGCTGCGGGCTCGGCATACTGACGCTGATGCCCCGTTCACTTGCCATTTCATTTTCTGTTTTTCGTTGGGGCAACAAAAATTAAGAAACAAATACAAAAAAAACATGTTCACTTGGTGTTTTATTTTTCTTGGAGAAAACCATTTATCAATAACTGAGTACCTGTGGGAAAACAATAAATTGTTGTTTTTAGGAAGTTGAGGGACGGATTCTTCCCCCATTCCTAGCGGAAAAACGACACTGTAGATTAATGAGGTCGTCTGTTCGAGTCACCCAGCAGTCTTTTACTTTTTTTTTAGCTTTTTCACTGCTCACTGGTATTCAAAAGCACTCCTCCTATATAAAAAAAACACTCCTCCTCGCCGCCGACGCTGGCGTTTGGTCTACAAGGATTTTGGGCGTCCGTCTCGCCACCGTTGTTGCTGGCTTTGGTCTTTGAGGGTTTCGAAAATCTCGGCGGAGAGGGACTTCGACGGAACAAGGGAGGGCACCGGAGCCTTGGACGACGACTAGGAGATGAGAAGGCGAAGGCGACGATGAAGAAAAATTCCGATCAGTCTCCGTCTTCCTTCCTCCGTCAAACCGCCGCCGCTACCCACCTCCCCACTACCGCCTCTACCGCTGGGAGCCACAGCTTCCCCGCCGCCTCCGCCCAAAGCCGCGACACGAGCGTTCGTCGACAATCTGAGGGAAATCTCCCCCAAAATCCTACGGGTCCGGGAGCTAGTCCAATTTATTAGGAGTTCTTTTGTGAGTGATTTGCTTTTGTCTTTGTTATTAGGAGTAGAAGGGTTGCTAGAGAAGTGTTGAAATGGGGTTCCTCTTTGGAGAATTTATCTCAGAAGAAAAAGTTTCCTCAAAATGCCAAAACAATTTATGGTCTCTGGAATTTAAGGGAGCTTGCTGCTTGCTAACGGGGTTGTCTTGAGGAGCAGAGGAGAAGGAAGGGAAAATTGGGATCGCGGTGGTGACATCTGTTTTCATCTGTGCTCAAAGTTATCCCAGGTGTCCAACATGCAAATCATTGAACTTTGTGTAAATAAAAGGGAAGACTAATTATCACTAATATTTTGCTTTGAATAGCAAATAGCAATTGCCCATGTCTACTAATTTTATGCACTGATCCATTTCGTTATCATTTTTTCTTTTTCTAAACATAACTCACGGTCAATTATTGTCTAATGACATTTTAATCAGATAATCTGACTGTCCAAACATTTAATTAGAGGCTTATACCCGGAACAAAATATGATCGGAGGACATAAACAATTAAAACAGTTAAATGACTAGTGTACTGGTAAAAATTATAATCACAATTAAAGTTGTATGAAATTCAATGTAAAAATTAATCAAGAATCAGAAAACAGAATGAAGCAGCTAAACAGGTTTTCATTTCAGAACTCAGTTTCAGAATTCACCAAAATTCTCAGCTAAACAAGGTTTTTCCAGGTTTTGCTTTCCAGGAAATGACAGCTTCGTTTTCATTTTAATTTTGTTTTTTGTTGTGGCAGCTAACAGAAATGGAATGGCAAGTAAACGGGCCATGAGGCTGCTGGAATGGCTACCCTTGCCTAGGCTGGTAGGGCTGCTGCTGTGGTGGTGGCCCCTGCCTAGCCTGGAAGGGCTGCCTCTGCTGGAAACCACCTGCTGGTGCTGGGAAACCAGGTGGTTTGTTGGTGTTGCTGCTCCAGGCAAAGTTGGGATGCTGGCGCCATCCCTCATTGTAGGTGTTGCTGTATGGGTCCAGGCGCCGAGCATTTGCTATGAAGTCCACCTGCTCTTGGGGAGTAGAAGACTCCCTCATAGACTGACAATCCTCCACCAGGTGATTTGGGCTCTCACACCACTGACACTGAGCTACTGGAGGCATAGCTACACCTCGGCCCGGAAGGAGACTGTTAGGCTGCTTCAATGTCTGCACCAACTCAGCCACCTGCTGCTCTAACCCAGATCTGGCCTCAATAGCATGCACTCCCCGGTCCCGGGCATTCCTGCCCCTGCTGCTCTGTCCCCAAGAATGATCGCGGGCAGCCAAGGTACTGATCATCTGGTTCAGCTCGGGTGGAGTCTTAGTGAGAATATCCCCTCCTGGGCATAGAGACTCGATCACCCTCTGGCTATCTGGAGTGAGGGCGCTGTAGAAGTTCCCTACTGTGAAAGCATCGCTGAAACCGTGATGGGGACACTGCCAGAAGTATCCCATGTACCGCTCCCATGCATCACGAAGTGACTCATCTGGCTCTTGGCGGAAGTGAGTGATCTCCCGCTGGATCTCCGTGGTCTTCGATGCCGGATAATACCGGTGCACGAACTTGTCAGCCAGATCGTCCCAAGAGGTGATGGACAATGGGGGCTGGGTCTCCAACCACCTCTTAGCATTCCCCGCCAGAGAATGGGGGAAGAGGTGAAGGCGGATTGCATCATCCGGAACACCATTCAGCTTGAACCCGTTCGTCAGCTGCAGAAAACGGGAAAGGTGTACCCGGGCTTCCTCATCCTTCAAGCCATGGAACTGGATAGAGGATGTGATGAGTTGGATCCAGCATGGCTTGATCTCGAAGTTGTTTGCAGGGATGGGTGGATAGAGGATGACCGGGCGGATGTCAGCAATCTGTGGAGTATAGTAGTACTCCAAGGTGGGACCCGGTGGTGGTGGATGATGATGGTGGCCAGCTCCCTGGGGATGTTGGTCGTTCCCCAGGATCTGGTTCTGAGGAGGCGGGTTCTGATCGCCTTCCATCTCGTGCTCGTCCTCGGAGTCGCTGGTCAATTGGCCGTCTCGGCGCTCCACCGTAGCCAGTCTAGCTTGCTGTTGTCTCCGAAGTTGTTTGCAGGTGCGCTCAATCTCAGGATTCAACGGCAGTAAACTTCCCGACTGGCTACGGGTCATGCACTATCTGCACACAATCAAGCAAAGCAAACCCGTGAAGGCACAAGCGGGAAAAGCAAAAACTCAATGCGAAAATGAAAATGCTAAAGTAACAGAAATCACTTTTCTTCAACAACCTAGCCGTCCCCGGCAACGGCAACGGCGCCAAAAACTTGACTCACTCCTACTGTCACTCTAGAAAATGGCCAAGTGTAACCACTTCCTAAAGCGTAGTATAGCGGGTTTGGGTTTTATTATCAACCCGGGTCCTAGATGTGATGACTACTCGGTGAATTCTTGTTATTTAGCATTGAACTTTTAGTGAAACTCAAGCAAACAAAACACAAAGCAAGTAAACGGTTTGTTGTCAAGTCAAGAGAGGTCACCCGGATATGGTTCCCCCTAGACTGCAGTTAAGTCGGATTGCAATTTACCAAGTTCAGTTTCATGAAAGTTATACTGCGGAAGGTTCTCAATTAGCCTGAAGTCTCGACTAAAGGTCTCCAGACCCTCTCAATCTGAGTCTCTAGCGGGCGACTAACCTCCACCGGAGTAAACAGATTGAGGCCCTAATGAACCAAACCTCCACTACCGAATTGACTTCGGTACAGAATAGCGAATTGGCTCCTCGACTAAAGTCACCAATTCACCACCTTCGATTAAGGGTACTCTATCAACCTAGGCAGATATTCTCATTCTAGGTCAAAGCAGAAACAACAGGAATTTGATCAGGATTCAAGTCATTCAATCATTCAAACCTCAATCGAATATAATCAATTCACAAACTCTGTACTTGGGTTCATACAATCAGACCTAGCATACAAATCTAGGGTTCTCCATACCCAGATGAATGGGGAAACTACTCCATAGAGAAAGAAGCAAAAGCAGATTCAGACACGGAAATCATACTGTGAAGTTGGATTCCTGCTCCTGGACGTTTAATCGCACTTCTCCAAGCTCAAGACGGGCTCCAATGGTGTTGAAGATCGATCTATGGCGCTTAAGAACTCTGGTTCGACGCTTTCTCTCTCTAGGAATCGATTTCTCTCTCCAAAAACTCGGAACCCTTCAATGTTGGCCTTCTTCCTCCTTAAATCAGCTGCCTGGTCGCGATACCCGGTCAAAATACCCGGTCGGGTATTTTGGGTTTCGACCGGGTATCTCTGCAGCGCACCGTTTAGCTTAAGGGAAGAATCCCCGGTCAATCGCCATAATCCCCGACCGGGGATTTTGCTGCTGTGCCCGGGCCCCTCTCTGCTTCTCGGGCGCCCAAAAGTGGTGAATACCCGGTCGGGTATTTGGCCACCTGACCGGGTATTTTCCTCCTTCAGCCCTATCCGTCCCAACTTTGCTCCTTTCGACCCAGAACTCGTTTCTCCGCCTCGATTCCAACGCCGGGACCTGAAATATGACATAAACACACAACCTAGCGTGAAATCGGCTTAAAACACGAGATTCCTCGTCACAAACGGCCTCAGAATAGGGGTAAAAACATGTATAATTATCGGTCTATCAGAAGTTCACCTGGTTTCGTTCCCCAGATCAAGTGAAGGAAACTACTGGTATTTGGGATTTGTCATCGCATCAAGCGGGAGAGTTTGTGGTGAATGCCCGAATGAAGCACCTTTTCATCACTACTGGTGAAGGTAGCTCTGCTCAGTTGAGCCCCAAGGAGAACACCGTCGCCCCTCCTGCTACATATGGGTTGATCCCAGAGGAAGGGGAATTGGCGGAGCTTGTTGAACCAGTGGGAAAGAGTCCTCGTACAGAGAACAAGGTGAATGTCAGCCCGGATGCAGGGCAGTTGAGGGTGGAGGTGACCAGCCCGGATTGGTCCCCGGAAGCCAAATGAGTGTCCTGGCGTGGAATTGTCGGGGCCTAGGATCCCTCCTGACAATTCCCTCGCTAAGGGATGCCCTCCGTCGCCACCTGCCCTTCCTCATCCTTCTGAGCGAAACGAAGAGGGATAATGAATTTGTTGAGGGTCAACTTAAGAGTCTAGGTTTTAGACATTTTCAAGCTTTTCATGGTCGAAATAGAGGGGGAGATTTGACAGTAGCCTGGTCGGACCTGGTTACCTGTACACTGTCATCTCCTAATCCCTCTTATCTAATTGTTGAATGTTTGCATCCAATTCTAGATAGGTTTGCTGTCGTCTTTGTCCACCTTAGTTGTGCTGTAAATATTAGGGAGGATCAACTAAATGAAATCAGTTTGTTTGTCTCGTCGTGCGATTTACCTACGTTCGTGTTGGGAGATTTCAATTGCTTGCTCACGTCTGCTGAAAAACAGGGAGGGCGCCCCCCCCCCCCCCGGCCCGGCTGCATTCGACCAGCTTCATAATTTCTTGCTTGCGACTAATTTTTCTGATTTGGGGTGTGTTGGTGTTCCCTTCACTTGGTCCAATCGGCAATCAGGAACACGACATATCCTGGAACGACTTGATAGATGTTTGGCTAACCCCTTGGCTTTGTCTTCGTGGCCTGACTTGCAGGGTCGACATTTAACGGACCTCGAGTCCGATCACAGGATGATGCTGCTGCAATTTGTGAAACTAGCAACCCACAGCGGGAGACGATTTCATTATGACATGAGATGGGACACAAATCCGGAAGTTCCAGACATATTCCAGCAGGCTTGGTCCAAGGAAGTTAGGGGAACTTTGCAAATCAAGCTTCAATCTCGGCTGAAAAACTTGCGACACGGCCTAGTGGATTGGGCTCGCAAGGCAACGTCGAATTCAGCTCGGCAGATTAAGGGTCTTAAGGAGAGCATTGACTTGGCCAAGGAGGCTTCAAGTGTGCAATTGGAATACATTGAAGAGTTGGAAGTACAGTTAGGGGAAGCTTTTAAGGAAGAAGAGCGTTATTGGATGCAAAAGTCCCGGGTTCGATGGCTGCGAAATGGGGATGTGAATTCACACTTCTTCCATCTCACTACACAGCAACAGAGAAGAACAAACTCCATTCTCACTCTGAAAGATGAGCAAGGTGTGCGACATTCCAATGAAGATGAGAAGGGTGGTATTGCAGTTGAATATTACAAAGTGCTTTTCACCTCCACGGGGAATGATCCAAGTGAGTATGTCGAACAACTCCAGCTACCTCATGATGTTGATGTAGAGGCAAACAGATTCCTCATAGCGCCGGTGTCGTACAAGGAGATCCGCAAGGCTGTGTTCGCCATTGGCAAGTCTCAAGCACCCGGATCGGATGGATTTACAGGAGCTTTCTACCAGAGGTTTTGGCCTGAGATTGAATGTGACGTTTGCGAGGCAGTCCTGTCCTCCTTCAAC